GAGAATCTATTGAATTTGACGGGAAGGAAATCTTGAGGAGTGGGTTTCTTTGAACATACACACACACCCTCCAAGACCGGTTGGATTGGACGTAAGTAAAGAAATACAGCCAACACCCCCCCCCTTCGAGGCGGACACACAAGCCAGTCATGCATTGGGGGGGGGTTTCCTTTCTTAAGTTCAAACCCATCTCATCAGCAGGGAAGCAGACTAAAATAAAATAAAACTTGTTATCTCCATTTTAACTAGGTGGATCACACACACACACACACAAAGCAAAAAAAAAAGAAGCAAAAAAAGAGCCATGTCTCGTTTATTATTTTTTTAAAAAGCAGATTACAAAGCAGAGCAATCTCCCAGAAATATAGAACACGGGGGAAGCGGTTTTGCATGCAGTTCGGTGTGTTTGCGTGTGCAAAAGGGGGCGGGGGGAGGAACATTATGGGGGATTTCACGTTGAAGGGCAAACCTGCCTCGCATCTTAAAGACACCCCCCCTCCGCCTCCTCCCGAGCAGCAACCAAGCAAGCCTGATTGAGTTAAACAAAGAGGCAGGCTTGGGTTCGGGCTGGGAGCGTTGGTTCGCTCCCACCCACACACCCCCCAGCCCTCCCCACGGCCAGCCCCATTGTGGGAGAGAGAATGCTCAGGGGTTGAGGGTTTTGTGTGCCATGGCGTTGACTCCCAGACACCCCCAAAGAGATGGGATAAGACCGTGTGTGGATGCATCTGTGTGTGTGTGCATGTATGTATGTGTATATATGTGTGTGTGTGTGTATGTATATATATATGTCTGGAGGAGGTATGCTGCCGTGCATGGGGCTGGGGCATGCAATTACCGGAGCCTGCGCGCGCACTGTAGGCGTGCGCTCCTCTGCCTTTGCACGCTACCCAAATCCAAGCCTTCTAGAACAAAGGAGACCTTCACGGTTGAGAGGCGGGGGGGGGAAGAGAGAGGAAGTACACTCTGGAAGACCCACCACGGAAGACCTCCTTCTCTCGTACCCTTGGCGAGACCAGCTTTGCATCTCAACTTTTTTTCAGTGGGAGGGCAGACCCCCCCCACCCCAGAGCTTGGGATTTATTTATTTTTAAGCTTTCCCCCTAAAAAAAAAATAAAAAATAACCAACCAGGGAGAAAGAGAGAGAGAGGGAAAGAAGCAGCAGCAGAGCAATCCTACAGGGTATGTATTTTTTTGGGGGGGGGGAAGAGAAATCCATTGATTAGATGTTCATACATTGATTTTATTGGCATGCACGCTGGTGCAGAAGTGCAATATATATTATACTTGTTATGTCCAATACGAGAGTTATTTTATTTTAATTTTAAAAAATAAAGCAGGAACGGATTTCAGCCATGCTCCTTGGAATGGGGTTGTAAGGGGAACACAATAGGGGGGTTGCTTAGGGATAGGCAACATTTTCTGTGGGTGTCCCTGCTTTGGGAAGCTCTCCCCCCCCCATCCCACACCTTTGTCCTACCCCTGAATGTCACAGGGGAAGACATTCTACTTTAAAGATAAGTGCTCACCCCCATTACCCCGGTTGCCCTTGGTGGGGACAGTTGGAAGCCAAAGCAAATAATAGGAGGCAGAAAGGAAAGAAAGAAAGAAAAAAGGGTTTTTTTTATCATACCTATAGCCAGACAGGCATACAGAGATATATCTATCTACTCTGACAGAGGGGGTCTTCTGGCTAAATCTCTCTCTCTCTCTCTCTCTCTCTCTCTCTCTCTCTCTCTCTCTCTCTCTAGGATTCAATTCAATTCCACGTACTGTACTCTTAAAAGTTTGCCAAGCGATAACGCTAACACTTCTTTGTTGCCCCCACCCCTCCCCAGCCCTTAGATCCCAGGGGCTCACATTACTCCCGAGGAAGCCACTTCTGAACCCGGAGCAAGCCCTATGGAGTCCAAGGAGAACCCCCTCCCCCAGAGAGAAAAAGAGGGTTTTTCTTACAATGTACAGCTTTAAAGCACTTTCCTTTAGAATGGAAGCCCGGTGGAACTCTAAGAGACTTGGCTCCTTGAGATCCAAAGAAAGAAAGAAAGGAGGAAAGAAAGGAGGAAAGAAAGAAAAGAAAGAAAAGAAAAGAAAGAAGCGATAAAAATGAATTCTAGGTGCTTTGCTCGCCTCCCTCCTTCTCTGACTGCCCTGGGGTAAAAAAAATAAAAATGAAAATTAAAGAGATTTGAAGAGTGAGCACTGCTTTGGGGAAGGCAGCCGTCCTTACCTTTCTTTATGCAACAGAGCCAGCCGTTCCTTGGGGACTTTGAGTTTTTGGGAGAGCCGCCGCTTCAGACCCTCCACCGTCTCCTCCACGGGCAGAGCGAGCTCATAGCGGGCCCCGGTGGTCGTGTGGATGAGGACTTTCATAGAGGGCTCGCTCTGGACCGGCTCGCAGGCTGGGGGTCCCTGACTGCAACTCCTGGGAGTCGGTTGGTGGTCCATTCGAATGACCTGTCCGGTGAAGGAGGAGGATTCACGGTGGTGGGGAGGGGTGGAAGGAAGGGAGAAAAGCAGAGGGAGGGTGAGATGGACACGGAAGAGCCCACCAGGGCAGACAAAGGAGCGCCACGCCGCCGCATTCACACGACCAACCCTCTTTTTAATTTTATTTTTTTTTAAAGAAAGGGAGGAAAAATCCGATTATTTTTCCTTTTCTCCCCCTCCTTCCTCTTCTCAAGCTGAGAGAAAGCCGAGCCTCGCTCGCCTGGGGCTCCGGCAGGCTTCCTTTCGTGCGGAGGCGGCGCCGGCGTTACTTTTACCGCCCACCCCCGCACACCCCACAGCCCCGGATCCGCCACGCACCTCGGCCACCCCGGCTGGAAGCTTTGAAGACAAACAGGAGGGAGAGAGAGAGAAAAAATAAAAATAAAAAAAAAGGCGACGCGAGTGAGAGAGAAAGAAAGAAAGGAAGGAAGAAAGAAAGCGCCCACTTCCTTGCAGGGAGGGGCTTCAATAGAGAAAAGGGAAAAATTAAAACGCGAAAGCCGGAGGAAAAAAGACGACGACCCCCCCCTGCGACCCTGAAAATTTTAAATGGGTTAAATACAAAATTTTAATTTCCTCCCCTTTCTTCTCTTTCTCCCCCACCTTGGGTTCGAACCCGTGGCCAGAAGCTCCGCCGCTCCCGAAGGCTTCGCGTGAAAGTCCGCGACGCCGGGCAGACGAAGCCAGCGAGAGATGAAAGGGGGCGGAGGAATCAACAACAAAAAAAGTTATAATGTATCAACGTTCTAAAAGGGGGCGGAGCTTCTCTCTCCTCCCCATTCATTCTTTTCTACCTGCTCTCCTCCCCTCCTCTTCCCCCCCTACCCGGGGGGGGGGG